AAGGTTTCGGAGAATCTGTCCTCGCGCTCTCTCGTTCAGCAATGGGCAAGTCTTTCTCGGGCCTGGGGGCGCGTAGGGAGACGCTCTTCGTCGGTTGAAAAGTGTAGGGCCTTGTCATCGGCGTGCAGGCTGTGGGTTGCCACACCGTCGCCGGAAGGGAGAAGGAAACAGATTTGGAAACCCTAGACGACTGCGGCTTGCGAAGAATGGAGGTCGTCGTCACGGGGCGCTGCGTCTCAATCACCACGGGTGTCGACTCTACCTTCCTCCCGCGGGCTGAGTGGCGCTTCTTCCCCTGCTGCCCTGGGCGACCAGGGGCGCGACCGGCGCGGTGCGGGTGCTTGTGGTTGCCGATAGAGGGGGCAAGGACGGTCGGGGTGCGCGCAGCCGCGTGCACGTTGCGCTCCCCACGCCACGCACCGGAGCTGGTCATGGCGGCTTCGTGCAGGGCAGGCAAGGGCAGACGCTTGACGCGCGGAAGCGGCACCTCCGAGTGTAGCTGCGGGGCACGCATGGACGGGACGATAGTGGTGCGGGGCGGGGCGGCAGGGTTGGAAGGCGCAGCGACCATCGCGGAAGGCAGTGGAGGGCGGCAGACGAGCGGACGTGTCACGACGTCCTCCTCTTTAAAAGAAGGCTGCTCGGCGACGAGCGGGATGCTCGCAGGAAGAGACGGGCCGGCAGCAGCAGAAGTAGAAGGAAAAGAGTAGGGCACGAGACGGCGCTCCGTGTCGTGGCGGGTGTCTGCGGAAGGTGCCAGTGCCGGTGCCGGGGCAGGCGCGGAGCGCAGAGGCGACAGACGGGGTGCGGCAACCTTTGAGCGTAGATAGGTCCGCGGTGTGTGGTGCGGCGCAGTGGGGGCCAGTTGGGAGGGCGGCACGCGGACGGGGCCAGCAGCGGTGGAGGGGTGGGGCGGGATATGGGTGAGGGGGTGTGGCGGCGGGGGCGGCGGGGCGTGGTGCGAATCGTGGCCCACGTCCTGGGTGCTGACGGGCGAGTCGAGCCTGGCGGTGAA